TTCAAGATAGAGTAATCTTGAATAAATTTGCAGTTTTTCGGTCACCGCCATCCCACGACCATTCCCCGATTGATTTCTGGTTCTGTATTATTTGAAATCTAAGGGATTAACATCAAATCCACGTTTTATCAGAAATGAAAGATGCCATAAAACACAAGTTGCACAGATTCCGCCTGCGATGTTACATTCGTTAATCATTGTCAACAACCTCCCGCATGCAATTCTTTATGATCTGTGAAGGTGTGCACGTGAAAAACAGAATTCCAATAAGTGTTTTTTTCTCTGTCCTGCTTGTGTTGTCATTTGGTCCTTGAAACATTGTGATTTGTCTTTGGTCCTAAAACTGATCTCCGTAGAACCTGATATTGCAAACTATTTCCAATAAAGTTTTCCCTTCAAGGATATGTGGAACAAATGCAAACAAATAAACAAATATCCAGTAACTTATCAGTTTTTACGATCTAGATTGCTGCTCCCTGTTTTTGCCTGTTTTATTAATGCATGTAATGTTTAATGTTTGAATTAACTTACATTTGTAAGCCGTGTGTTGAACACTCGTGGTATCCGTAGGGATTGCATGTGCTCAAAACAAGATTTGCCAAACTTGGCGATCATTTGGTGGCACTTCGGTCCAGTCCCTCCGTAACTGTAATTGGTACTTAACTCATGTCTGTATGTAACTGTGACCTTATCTTACCCTCATATGCAACTTAAATGTAATGCCTTCCAGTAGTTTCGAGAAATGGAAGGAACTAGAAATTTCTCGTGGGCCGAGGGAAGACTATATAAGACCGGAGGAAGCATCTGTTCTTATTTTTTAGTTCACAGCTGATTTCCGAGTATTGAGAGATCGTACGAAATTTGCTTTTCAGACGCGCTTTGCATTGCATTGAGTTTAATATTCTTAGCAGCTTGGAGTGGTAACTACTGATTTTCTGTAAGACTGTAAAGAGCTGTACGAGTAATTTTGTGGAAAGTTCCAGAAATGCAAAGTGTTTCTTTTAGGGGAAAAAATTAGGCTATCATCGCTTCTCTGTGCATTCAATCCTATATGAACCCGTGAGCACTAACACATTTTGGTGTCAGATGCGGGATTTTAACTCAACCCCACATTCATGGACCAGAATGCCGGTGTCAAGAGTAACCGATGAGCAAATAAGACAGCTGGTGACAGATTTTGTTATATTCCAGGAAACAATAGAAGAGGCCATCATCTCCGTTAAAGCAGAGGTGAAAGCGAGCCAAGGGCAGATGAAAGCGGATCAAGTAGATATGAAATCGTGCCAAGAAAAGATGGAAGGGGTGGTCAACTAAATTCAAGAAATGATTCAAGCAGATAATCAGTAAATAAAAAGAGAAATTACTGCCGTAAACATAAAACAAATTCGAAACTGGGGAAGGCAGAATAGACACCGCTCAAAATAAAGTTGTATGAACTGAAGAAAGAGTTTCTTCTGCTGAACAAAGAATTGGCGAATAACAGAAGAGCTTCTGCTGTCAAAACACAAATCGGAGAAATAGTTTCTCCAGTTGAACAACAAATCCATGACAGATTTTTTTTTCTGCTGTTGCCAAGGAAGCTGAGAGTTTAAAGAAATCCATAGCTACAGCTGGCCACAACTCTGACGCCTTTAATTTCCTAACTATGGTTTCTCGCCCCTCTGAAGTTATCCACGTATGATGGAAAGATCTTCTGACATGAATACAAGACTCAGTTCTCTATATTGTGGAAACCGAAATTGGTAATAATCAAAAATTAAGGGCCGACTTCTGTGAAAGCAAACGCAACGAAAATCTTTCAAACTCTGCCCGTAAACTAGAAGATAGACTTCGAAGCTCTTTCAGTGTGCTGAAGTTGTGATTTGGCAGAAGTGTATAAGTTGTTTTCTGCCTTCTTTCATCATGCCTTCGTAGTGTTACGGTAGCACACTCGGCGAGTATTCGAGAGGTCCAGGTTTGAGTCCCAATGAGACCGACGAGAGCTTTGCTCCTTTTTCATGCCTCCTGCTTCAAAATAACCTAATGACTCTACAAGTGTTTAAAAAACTATAGGCTTCAGTTCAAGTCTCGAGACTGGTGCCTCAAATCAGTGCCTCCATTATATAGGAAAGGCAACCAAATAAGAATTCCCAAGTCAGACGAAGGTCCCAACTGAAGAGCATCTCGTATCAGAAATAGCCGACAGTCTCGTGGACAGAACTGCGATAGACCAATAAGAAGAGAAATATCTTCTGGTCCCAAACCTATTGGTTTCTGTAATACCTCAGGGAAAAATTGCTAAGGATGGTTCAATCAAACGTCCTTACCATGCCGTCTGACCGTGGAGGTGATGGTGTCGTTTGAGTTTCGTTTACGCCGAATAGTTGGAGGTGTTGTTTAATTACAGCCGAGCAAAAATTCCTTCCTTGATTAGAATGTAGGTAAAGAGGCACTCTAAATCTAGAAATCCAAACAAATCTTGCTACGGTGACAGACTCTTGATGAAGAATAGGATACGCTTCGGATCACTTTGTGAAGTAATCAGTAACAACGAGGATATATTTGTTGCCATCAGCAACCAGTTCGTAGATAATGTTTATCAAGCTATCACAGTCTCTTCGGAGACGTGGGTTCGGATTTCCCCGCTGACACCAAAAATTGTTGTGTGCGTGCGGGGTAGTAATGGATTGAATACAGACAAACTCGATGATATATTAGTAAAATTTATTTCCCCAAATAAAACACAGTGCAGTTCTGGATCTCCCAAAGATGATTCGTACAGCGGTTCTCAGTTCGTGACAGCGCAATGAGTAGTCACCACTTCAAACTAGTCGGAACTTTAAGCATAATGCAATGCAACGTGCCTCTGAAAAGTGGAGTCCGGCCAGAGATCTCAAGGTCAGCTCTATACTGAAAGCTGAGAGCTGATGCACTCTCCAGTCTTATATAGTTTTCCCCTGGCCAACGAGAAACTTCCAGTGCTTACCATTTCTCGAAATTACTATATCCAAAATATATCTCAAAATTACTATATCCGAAATATAAAATATATCTCTAATACCATATCTCGAAAGGCATATACAATTAAAGTTGCATACAAGGACCGGATACCTATAGGGATCAATTGCAGTTATTCAGTTACAGCATCAATTACAATTTACAGGGACCGGAATAAAATGTCGCCAAATAGTCGCCATATTTGGCAGCTTTTGGGCGATTCAACCCTAAATTTGGCAACAAAATTTAGTCACTAAAGCCATCGCCAGCTGGGCGGTAGCTCACCAATTTAGTGAGATAGACATTTATCTCAATGTGAAATAGACTTGTCCCTGTAACCTTATTTTTTCCGCAGAGCTTAACTCTTTTCAGACATTCCATGTTACATTATACAAAATTCGTATCATTGTCCCCTTCCCAAAGACTGTACATTCCCAACAGTACAATCATTGGAATTCTTACTTACAACTAAGGAAAATCAATACAATGTTAAAATAATTATTTCAATAATTACCATATAACAAGTCAAACAGTAAATCAATAAATAAATGCACGAATTTACAAGTTTATGAACAAATAGGACCATGATCTTAGTACTTTATTTACATTATATAAACGATGGAGACTACGTATTAATAGCCATAGTAAGGGGCTAGACTATTGTAATGAAAGACTTTAGGATTAGAATCTGATATCTTACATATCTGAATTAAGATGTTGTTCAGCCTGTTTAGGATTGTGTTAGGACGTCCAAGGGTGACTATAGAATGTTATAATATGTTATATATTATAATGGAATAAGCTTTTGCATATCCACAATCCATCACCAGGCATCAATGAAACTCTCCATAGTATCAAATTACGTGTGTAAAGCAACGGCTACATCCTTGACATCAGGTAATAAGACAGAGGTTGATTATCAGCGATCAAGAAAAACTGTGCGGTTTATGTAATTTTGTTTTGGGTACCTTAGATAAAAATGCATTCTTTTAGGATGCTATTCTTCTAGATGTATGATGCAATACTTCTAATGTTAGAATGTTTAACAGATATGTTTATAATAAATTAAAATATGTTTTAATTACTTCTATGATATTTAATTTCTTGAAATAAAATATGTACGATATTTAAAACTCAAAGCAAGAAAAAAGCCTAATTCCTTTTGAAGCAGTAGTACGGAATAACTTACTAAGACTACTGATTCATTTTTTTCTTTATTCATAAAGTAGTTCTCCCGCCTTCATAGCATGCCTTTGTACTGCAGAGTTCAGCACGCTGGGCGCGTATTTCAGAGATCCATGGTTCGATTCCCGGCGAGGGCATTGCTCAATTTTCATCAGTCCTACTTTAAAAATACCGAATGTCTCTACAGTGGCACCCGAACTAAAAGGGTGTTCAGTGATGATTCTCCACACCCAGCATTTGGCAATTGGGTTCCCTAAAAACCCCAGTCTCCCTTTAACAGGGGCGAGTATGTAAGGTACTTCTCCCGCCTTTTTATCATACCTTCGTACTGTAGTGGTCTTTACGCTGGGTGCGTATTCCAGAGATCTGAGGTTCGATTTCTGGCGAGGGCGTTGCTCATTTTTCATGACTCCTGCTTACAAAAAAATACCTAATGACTCTACACATTATTATAGAGAAACAAAATGTGTAACGAAAATATTATCAAAAAATATCAGAACTACACCGAGACTACCCGTCAACGGTTGTTCTGCACAGGTTCTTAATATATACGTATATAAACCTTAATAATAATTAGACACAGTGAGTCCACTATTAGAATATCTATTTACAATTTCAATATTTATAGAAAAATAAATAAATCTTATCTACTTGAATTCTGCACATGCCTTTTTGACGAATGACCATCAGCATTAAAACAGTTTCTTTGAAGTAAAGTAGGAACTAGGATATTATTTAATAAACAGAACACAAATACAATATACTATCTCCATTCAATTCATATCAACCTTAAATTCATAGAACACTTCTATCACTAAGCAAACACGGATTAGAACGTGCATGGCAACGCCGAAAACTGATGCCATCCACAAAAAAAGGATACATAAAACTCGCGTCATTAAAACATTAATACATTAAAAGTCTCGTGTTCATTCAATAAAGTTATTCATAAAACTGTCTCGTGGATATCTTCCGAAGTTTATTGACGGCATTACGTAACATCCTCCCACCTTGATTTGCCACCTTCGAGGTAAATCAACAAAGTTCGAAAGTTCAATAGCCCAGTCTCTTAGGTATCTTGATTACTCTGCCGCTTCTTGACGTCCGAGGAGCTGCTGAAACATCCTTCTGAATTGGAATGTCATTCTGTGATGTTGCTGGTAGGTCATTAGTAGTATGTTGATCTGGTATAATGGGATCCCCAGAAGAATTAACTTCTAGAGGGTAAATTTTTTGGACTGGACGAACGAGATGACCAAGTGGAGTTTTTACTTTGACGACTCTCACATGGCCGTCTCTCCCTGGATACAGTTCTTCAATCACTGCAAGTGGCCAATTAAGTCTCTTTTGGTTTTCAGAACCAACAAGGACCACTTCTCCAACTTTGAAAATTTTGTCAGATGTGCCAGCTTTTTGCACCAACTGACCTAAGTATTCTTTCCGGAATCGTCGCCTGAATTGTTCACGCAGTTCTTGGCAATAACGTTCTCTCTTTACCAGTTTGTTCCTATCCAAATGATCAAGATCAGCCGTTCCAATCTCTTTTACATCTTGGAGAAAGTTGGATGGTGTTAGAGGCCTCAACTCATCTGCATCGTTGGAGATGTATGTTAACGGGCGGTTGTTAACGGTGGCTTCTGCGTCGCAAAGAACTGTGAGCAGTTCCTCATACGTAACCGACGACTTACCAAGAACTCGAACAAGTAGATTTTTCACTATGCGAATTAGTCTCTCCCACCAACCGCCCACCATGCTGCGGTTGGGGAATGAATTTCCAGTTAATTGGATTTAGAGTTTCAAGAGCAGCTATCTTTTGTCACTCAATTTGGTTCAATGCACCAGAGACACCGATAAAGTTCGTGCCGTTGTCACTATAGATAACTGTCGGACGGCCTCGTTGAGCGATAATTCTTCTCAACGCGAGTGCACAGCAATCTGCACTTAAGGATGTCACGATCTCTGTAGACTGCACATATAAACAGCACCACCCAGGCTTTAGTCCTTTTTCTAAGAACAAGGGGACCACACAAGTCAATTCCGGTGACTTCGAAAGTTCGAGCGTCCCGTACTCTGTCTAAAGGTAAATGAATAGGTATGGTTGAAGGTGACTTTGTTGTGAATCTCTTGCAGGTAATGCATTTCTTGATTATTGATCTAATTGTTTGTCTAGCTGAAATAATCCAATATTCTTCTCTAATCATTGGCATGAGCATTTGAACACCGGCATGAGAATTCTTTTTATGGTATTCGAGCACTAGACTTTGCACAATATGATGCTTTGACGGAAGTAGAATTGGATATTTAAATCCAAATTCATCATCTCTTGCGAGAATCTTTGTTTTCACTCTTATCAGTCCTATTTCATCTCTGACGACTGAAAGACCATTTATTACATCTCCAGTCTGAGAAAAACTTTCACGTTGAACTAGTAGACTCAAAGTGTTTTTTGAATCTTTTAACTCGGCTGCAGACAAGAATTTTGCTCTATTTACAGATTTTGCCTGACAGCGTCTAATAAATCTTAGAACCCATGCTAAAATTCTTTTAATTGCTGAAAATTTAGAATATTTTTCATACCACTTAGATGTATCGGTACTCACGCTAACGTTTAATACTACAGTTTTCTTTCTGATTTCGGAAGAAATTTATGCCTCATTGGGTTTAATTTCAAGGCGTGGCCAACTATCCTTCGGATCCTTTAACCAGTTAGGACCCTCCCACCAGGAATTCTTTAGAATTTGATGAGGGGTACAACCACGAGATGGTATATCAGCTGGATTTAACTGGCTTGGCACGTAAGACCACTGATTTTCCTCTGAAAGTGCACAAATCTCTTTGACACGATTTCCTACAAAAGTTCCTCATTGATCATTGCGCTTGATCCATGACAGAGCTGTGGTGTGGAATCAGACCAGTAATGTTTTTCAATTTCGTCTAAGGATAATGCATCTACAACATACTTCGCTAGACGTACTCCTAAAACACAAGCTAAAAATTCAAGACGTGGTATTGTCATCCTTTTTAAAGGTGCAACAAGAGATTTTGCGATCAGAAAATTTACACATGTCACCATTGTTTTCGCAGCGTAAGAAAATCACGGTCGCGTAAGATTTCTGGCTCGAGTCACAAAAACATGCAAAGTCCAAGTTTGTTTGTTTCCATATCCTGTTCTGCGGGATATTTTCAAATCTGATAAGATCTGTAATTCACAGTACCATTTCAAAAATTTTTGTTTGACCTCTTCTGACAGTGGAGAATCCCAATCTGCTTTAATAGACCAAACTTCTTGAATCAATAACTTAGCCGGTAATAATACAGGAGCTAAGAACCCTAGCGGATCGAAAATCCCCTGTGTTAATGACAAAATCTCTCTTTTTGACAGGTTGTCTAGATTTCGCACAGGCTTAATATGAATAGAAAGGCTATCATCCGTTCTATCCCATAGAATACCCAAGACTGAAATCTGATTCTTAGAAAGAGATTCCGAATTATCATTCCTCGAAATTTTATTAACGTCGTTTATAGGACCGAATGTCCACATCCGTAGGTCCATCTTAGCTTCTGCCAAAATGTCAATTGATTTATCCATAAAATCCTTCAACTCTTCCTCTGTGTCAAGAGACGTGACACAATTATCGACATAAAAAGAATTTCGAAGCTTTTCTGCTACGTGATTTCGCTCCGCAGATACTCGAGACAAATGGAAAGAAATGACAGCACCTAAAAGATACGCGCTGGATCTAACACCAAAAACTACCCTTGTGTGACGATACACCTTTATGAGGCCATCCTTTTTCCACCAAAGGAATCTTAAAAAATCTCTATCCTCTTTTCTAAGCTCAATTTGTAAGAATGCGCGTCTTATATCAGCCGTAACTCCTGTGCGTTTCTCTCTGAATCTTAATAATAAGGCAGGTATTTCTTCGATCAAATTCGGTCCCTTTACTAAACAATCATTAAGAGAAGGTGCTCGTTTAGATTTACATGATGCGTCAAATACTGGCCGTACCTTGGTGGTAAGACTATCCGGTTTAATAACAGGATGATGCGGCAGATAATGTCCTTTAGACTTAAGATCGCACACCGAAACTTCCTCTATCACGCCTTCAGCAAGCCATTCGCCTTATCGTACTCTTCAAATATATTCAAAGACTTAAGTCTTTGTGTTGCGCTGAGAAGCCTTTTTTCCGCAATATCGCGGTTAGATGGTAAATCTATGTTATGTTCCAACCAGGGTAAACCAACACAGTATCTCCCCTCTTCATTTTTACCTAAGGAGCCTAAAAATTGTTCCCAAGCAATATCTTCTTCCGCGTTCTTTGTAGAATTACTGCTGGAATCTGAAATTCCTATTGTCTCTAAATTCCAAAGATCGGATACGTTTAGGTCCCGAAACGTCAGACTTACATTCAGAGTAGATATACGACTACTTTGTGGTTCGGAATGCTCCTTAAGTCGACCACAAATAGTCCATCCTAATGTAGTTTCAATTGCAGTTAAACCTCCATCGAGCTGTTTTACTTTCCCTGTAAGAATTGAACCGTAAATGTCACTGCCGATTATCATCTCTATCTTCGGGCAACCTGTTCCTATGTCTGAAAGCCATATCTTTTTACACTTAAGTTCTTTTAAAATAGGGCCCTTAGGTACACGTTCTATATTTCCACATATAGCGTCCTGATCCAAAAACACAAATTCCATTTCTTTTCTCATATAAGGATTGAGAGAGCGTAGCTTGATCCTATACTTTTTATGCACGTTCGGTTCAATTTTAACCCCTCCAAAAAGCGTGTGAGCTACAGTTTCCTCGGCAATGGGAGTTAGTCCTAATTCCTGTACCGTAGACTTCAAAATGTATGATTTTTGTGATCCGCAATCGAGAAGAGCACGTACTTCTCTGGTGCCTGATTTTCCTAACACATTGACTTTAATTGTCATGAGAGCTACCTCCGTGGAACACATCTGTCCCGCCGTAGTTGCCTAAATGGTGTCTGGCTTTGCTGCCTTTTCCTGCGTTTCCTGTATCTGCAGATCCGGGCAGAGAGAAATTGCGTGAGCCTTACCACACACATAGCAACGTACAAACTGTTTACACGACTTAGCAATATGTCTAGGCGAAAGGCACTTTAGGCAACACCTCTTAAGCCTAATTTTATTCTTTTTCTCATCTAATGACAGAGAGCGTGCTTCGTAACAGTCCTTACTATCATGTAGTTTATCGCAAAAAATACAGTTATTATCTTTCGTCGTAAGGAAACCTGTCGCCGTAGGGGCATTCGTTAACTGTTTCGATTTAAATTTTCCTTTTAAATCCCTTTTCGATTTATTGCAATACTTGTCTTTTTGCCCAAAAATCTCAAATCCACTCCGCGCTAACTTAAGTCTTTCCTCTCCCTTCCACTTCGCATCTTAAAAATTTCATCAAATTAGTTAGGCGAGAAATATTCTGACTTTCCTTTACTTCTCCAAAAAGCGGGCTTCTTTGCCAGGCTCTGAGGACTTCCTCCGAGAGGCATGATTCTACCATGGGATATAACCAACAAGCATTGCTTTCCGTTTTAATATCTAAAGATTCGAGAGCTCTTATTTGTGCGAGCACTAATAGCTTTTGAATAATTTTTCGCAGACATTGGGTCAATAAAGTCTCTAGCTCGCGTCTCTTGTTTCATGCTTTGCACAAGATACTGAAATTTGTCACTTTCGGGCAAATCAGGGTCCTCGTGTATTTTTTCGAACTGTGACCAAAATGGAAGCCAGTTCAATAATTCTCCACCGAACTTCTTAAGCTCTATTTTCGGGAGCTTTAACGATCTAGTATTACGAGGTGAATTACTAGAAACACTAACTTGCGACCTAGTTTCTAAATTTATCTGTTCTAAGGCACCTAATTTCTCACTAACTAAGCGAGAAATGGTAATAAATTCATCCTTATAAATATCCCAGCTTTCCATTTCATCGGTAACTTTTTCAGGCGTTACATCAGTCGAAATTATAAAATTCAAAATCTGCTCGTTAAGTTCCTCAATATCTTTCTGTAACATTTGCAACTTTGCAAATTTATCTTTAATTATACCTGCTGAAAAATCATCCTTACCAATTTCGCTTTTCAAAACATTAACAGTCTTGGTAAAGGAAGAACGCAGTCCTCCGCGTTTTACAGTTAAAGGATTCATAATAAAACGATGAATGAAACCAGCTTTACTTCACAAAATACAATTCAACAAATTAATTCTAACAAAAACCTCACTGCGTCCTGTCGCGGACGTCACTTGTAACGAAAATATTATCAAAAAATATCAGAACTACGCCGAGACTACCCGTCAACGGTTGTTCTGCACAGGTTCTTAATATATACGTATATAAACCTTAATAATAATTAGACACAGTGAGTCCACTATTAGAATATCTATTTACAATTTCAATATTTATAGAAAAAGAAATAAATCTTATCTACTTGAATTCTGCACATGCCTTCTTGACGAATGACCATCAGCATTAAAACAGTTTCTTTGAAGTAATGTAGGAACTAGGATATTATTTAATAAACAGAACACAAATACAATATACTATCTCCATTCAATTCATATCAACATTAAATTCATAGAACACTTCTATCACTAAGCAAACACGGATTACAACGTGCATGGCAACGCCGAAACCTGATGCCATCCACAAAAAAAGGATACATAAAACTCGCGTCATTAAAACATTAATACATTAAAAGTCTCGTGTTCATTCAATAAAGTTATTCATAAAACTGTCTCGTGGATATCTTCCGAAGTTTATTGACGGCATTACGTAACAAAATGTGTCTTAGCAAAGAGACCTTTAGTATAATCTTGCGGTTTATAGAAGCGTGGTGTAGGTGTATTAAATTATGGCAAAGCACACGAGGGCTATCTGCCTAAGGGGAGGGATGCCTTTCGTGGAGGACTTTCTAAGGGAAACTGGCTCGTATACACGTTACACATGGGGAAAACCACGAAAACGCCCATGCAGCCAGCCCGTTCGCGGGATTCGAACCTCGGACCGAACTACCAGTGTTCAGCGACTTTACCGCTCGGCCGCTGGTGGGCTATAGAAGCGTGGAATAAGACTTATAATCATATGTGGTGCTATTGCAGTAGAAATAGGAACTTCACTAATCCAAATCTTTTATTCTTAATAAACAGTAAATTAAATTATGTTTAAAAGTTCAATAAAAATTTCGATAGAATTAACATTTCTAATTTAACTTAACTTCATCAGTCTTCAATTCTTTTAAGTCGTCTTTGAGGTCGCTTGAGATTATGCAAATGAATTGCACTATAAATGTGTCGCCTAAAAAAAAGCCACTAAATAATTTTAACAGAAGTATTTTGATAACGATTTCTTCCACTTCGGGTAAGAAAAAATAGGACGAAATATAATAGTAAACATATCAGTAGAAATAATTAATGATAGTTGGAAAAATCAGATCAAAACTAAAATTTTTAAATCAAACTTTATATTTAAAACTATTTTATATTTTCTAGTTTACGTAAGCATTATTTAACTACCCGTGCTGCAAAATGTAAACTAGTAGTTTCGAAAGAACAAATGAGTTGATAGTGATGGAAAAGATTGAGAATCTTGAAGAGTTAATTATAAGCAGACTTTTACAAGGTTTTCATGCAATATGTAAAGCATATTTAATATAACAGTTTTTTTCATTTTACTGACTTATATTTCAAACCCTTCATATTATTACTTAATAAAATGAAAACACTTCTGCTTCTTCCCCCTTCTTTTAGGACAATTTCAACTGCCTCCACGAAATTAGCAGAATAAGTAAGAGAAATTCCTATGGAACAAATAGACAAAATCGGAAGTCAGAACCAAGTTCTAGATGTTACGACATTTCGGGAGAATATTTTAAACAGCCCTCCACCACAAACCCAGAGCAGTACCCAGGAAACAGATAACGAAGACGTACAGATACCTGTACCAACGCCCACGACTCCAGTGCTTTCAAGTATTGGTGAAAATGATACTACAAATACAAGCGTAACTGATACTTCAAGCTATGCGAGTTCAGAAGGGACTGCTAAAGAAGATGAAACTGTTGATACATTTTCGAAACCCAGCGAAGATTCAAAACTTGTAACTCTAAACAATGAAGAGGAAATTTTTGCGAACTTTCATACGCCACTAAACGGAAATGGTGTTAGTTCTGCTAAAGAAAATAAGAAGTCTAGTACTCAACTGGATAGCAATGATTATGGTGATGGTATGGACAAGGAGGAAACTGGGCAACAAGCTGAGGAGGAAGAAAACCTCTCAAAACACTCCGAAACTGCCTTTGATCTCATAAATTCTAAGATAGGAAATGAAGATGTGATCGTCGATCCTTCGAAGTTACACCAGTGTGAAAGTGAGTCTCTGAGAAGTGCCGAAGAGAAAGGAAGATATTATTACAATGAGGACTCCCATACCGATGAATTTATGGCATCAGAGGAAGATAGCAACAACAGCGCAACATTAAGACGTTTTGAAACTAAAGATAAATGTGAACTCCCAAAACCCATTCGAACTTCGACGCCAGTGCCACGGAGATCCAGTTTCTATACGGTTTTAAATATGAATCTCGAAAGTAAGATAATTGTTGATATAAAGAAAAGCATGATTGTAGATTACTATCCATTAGAAATTGTAAATCATAGTTTCCAATTTTGGTTTTCCCTGGAAGAGATATTTAATTTTCGAAGCATGGTATTTATTTATAATTCCGCACTAGTGTGAACTTCTATATAATAAAAAAATTTTTGCTAGCATAAGTACAGAATAGAGTATATTTCTAACGTATATTTTAGTTTAAAAATTCCAGTTATTTTAATAGAGAAACTAATTTAATTTGCATGTAACTCATATGCATGCTTGACATTACGAAAAGTGAATGCTTTCCAGTTTCAGTCTGCATAGTGTTTTTTATCTTTCAGCATGATTCTTAATATACCTTTAAAATATATGCATTTCAAATATAATGTATTCTTTTTCTTCTCTAGAATTATGATTTAGTGTTGTAACGAATATCTCTTATACAGGTTTCATATTCAAAACTAATTCAGCTTCTTTTTCAAAGTATGATCTTTTCATCCTTCGTTGGAAAAATGCAATTTACTATTATACAAAAACGGCCAAATTGAGATATAAACGAAATAAACTATTTTTGTTAGAATAAGCGAAATGAATCAGAGGGCTTCTGAACTCTTCCCATAAGAGATTATGCTTTTCACAACTGTAAGGTTTTTATGGTTATTAAACTATTTATCTTAATATTTTTTCTTTTACTGTCACTTTCGCTTTCATCGGGTCCCACTAGGGCTAGAAATTGGTTAATTTGTATTTAAGAACAAAGTTCTTGAAGTTAAGAATGAGCTTTACTGAATGTTCTGAAATTTTTTAAAATATTCGCATAATTTTTCCTTTCCTCAACCCGTTAGGATAAAAAAATCCTTTAAATTTTAAAATGCATTCGTCAAATTAGGGATGATTTTGGTCTTACTAACACAGGCAAACTCTCACAAACTCCTATGAAGGTCGGCCGAACTGTTGAATTTAATGCCACCTTAATGCAAGAACAGACTCGTCAGAGGGAAGGAAACACAAACTGATATTCAGTCTACGATTTCTTCGTTTCGGCTGAATATTCACCTTCTCTAATTATTTATGCACGATTTGACGTCCACTAAGCAGCAAAGACGACTATAAGAACGAGGAGTTAAATTTGCAGGAAAGTAGAAATTAAATTATTTCATTAGATTAAAAGAGATAGAAAAGATAAGTAAAAGAAAGATAGATAGATAGATAGATGTAATTAATATTGCTAAGTAATTCATATTGGAATGTAGGTTTCTTTAAAGAAACAATATTGGAATAGTTACCAATATTTTGTCCCCAACTGCTTTTTATTTGTTATTTTCTTATTGCAGCCGCATCCTTGAGAAATGAAATTTTCTCCTTTCTGTTTTCGGCTCACCAGCGGCCGAGCGGTAAAGACGCTGAACACTGGTAGTTCGATCTGAGGTTCGAATCCCGCGAACGGGCCGGCTGCATGGGCGTTTTCGTGGTTTTCCCCATGTGTAACGTGTATACGAGGCAGTTTCCCTTATAAAGTCCTCCACGAAGGCATCTCTTCCTTTAGGTAGATAGCCCTCGTGTGCTTTCCCATAACTGAATAATCCACTTAATCCAATCCTTTCTGTTTTCGGATGATAAAATTCGTTCGTAAGAAAGGGGAGAAATAGACGAGGAAATACGGTATATTTTTGAAGCTTTTGCTTTCAGTTTTCTTCATACTGTATTGATACTTTGCTTTAATCGAGAAGTTGATTGTTGACACCGTATTAAAGTACTTTTTAATGAGAATTTATTTAACCTTTCTCATCTTCTGAATTATAAAATAATATGATAAATTTCTTTGAAAAGAACCGTACTGAAGGTTTACTTATTAGCTAAAAAATATATTTTATGAGCATTCTAACAGTTTTTTGTGTAACTTATACCAGGAAATGTGGAGGAAAAGTCAGCAGAGGAGAAGCCTATTCTTCAGATTGCAGCAGTAATGTTTGAAGAGTCACTTTTAACAGGAGTTCCTAACATCCTTTCGGAGAGGAGAATCTCTTGGAAAACTACTAAGATAATAAGCATTGTGTTCTGCATGACCTGGTTTACTTACCAATTGTTCGAATTCATGGATGTCTACTTGAATTATCCAACGGTAAAGGATAGTCGATTTCTGAGTGTCATATCGGCAGGAGATTCCATACCATTTGTGATGCCTGGTATCGTTGTTTGCAACAATAACCCGTAAGTAAAAATTTTCAAAACCGAAAATTCTATACAGTTCTATATAGAGTAAATTAAAAATTTACTGAAAGAAAAAAGTGATAAAAAAATTTGCTTGTTTGTATAAGGCTTCGAAACTAGGAAAATAATAGAAAAAAAGCGGAAATATTCTTTTTTCAGTTCAGGAACTTCAGTCACTAAATAGAAAATATGACTGGAGGGCATTCCCTTCAGATAAGCGGGCTCCAGCCAAAGCAAAATTTATAAGTTCGTGTACACCTGAAAAGAAAATGTATAAATACTTCCCAGTATTCATCAAATCAGTTCTATATATACCTGAAAAAAAATTTTTTTGAGCTTTAAAAAC